TTTCCTCTTTTCTTTGCCTTTTTCCTTTTTTCCCCCTTAACCTAGAATCCCCTTTTTACACCCAACCGAGCTCACATCCTACCCGTTGAAAATCCCTCCTCTAATTTCTACCATTGATTCCGTCTCTCTATATCTCTCTCCCGCTCTCTCTCCTTTATTCACCTATGTTAAGCTATTACAAACTATGTAGTATATAATAGTGTAAATCATAAAATATTTGTAGTAATTATTACATTTTGCATTGTTTAATCAATACTTCTGTTTTATTTTTTAAATAAAAATTTATTTATTTAGAATAATTTTAAAATACCCTAATTGTAAGCAATAACTAATATTATCTTAATCTTAAAACTGTTTTTTTTAATATTAATTAATTATAATTAAGCAGGCTTAGGACCAAGTACAGCAGCAAGCCCTACAACCGATGGCAATGACAGAGGAGCTGCTTCTTCCATGGTACTTTCTTCTCCACTTCTTGCCCTGAGCATTGGATTATTGCTGATCGAGCAAACCATTTAGATTTCAGTTTCAATTATTTGCCCTTCTTTTCTTTTTAATTTAAATTTGTGAAATTATGTTTATCATTAGATAATTCTATACCTAGCACCACCATCATTAATAATTGTAGGAGTTTATGTAATTTATTATTGTTGTTACCAATTTCCATTTATTTTATGTTAGAACAAGAACAAGAACATCACAATTTGTTTGACGAGAAAATTTTTATTCGGAAGTTACCATTGCCGATCGCTATTTTAAATTGCCTTATAATATTACATCAATCTATATAAACTTTTGTTTGTAAAATTCCGAGTAAGATCCGAAAATTAGGTCAAAATTGATTAATTATTATGGAGTGAATTAGATTGGACTAAACTAACTATGATTTAGTTCTTAGTCTTAGTATGTTTGGACCGAAAATTTTAGTTCACATTGGTTTGATCCTAATCATACATACTCCCGTCTATTTTAAGTACTTGATTTGGTTCGGTCTAATTTTAAATTAATGCACGATTTTGATTCTGAATTCATTAATCCGATGTGAGAAAATACATTGTTAAATGTGTAAAAAAGAATAAACTTATTCTTAATGTACAAAAGGTGGCCCAATAATACCTTTACCTTTAAAACACTTTATAAAATAATTTAGCTCCATACTTGAAAGAATAGTTTATAAGTGCATACTGAATGGATAAAAGAAAATGCACTCTTTAAATTATACCCCAAAAAAAATTTCAATACATAAAATTAACTTAAAAATATAATTATACCCAATGTACTATAATTAGAAATACTTCTAATATATATATATATATATATTGGGGTTGTAAGCCCATAAGAAGATTGTAATGCCCAGTTTTTTCTTTTCTTCACTGGTGTTATCTCAATCATATTAGTAAACATGACACGTATCTCATTCCATCAATAATTCAATCATATAAATAAAGAAAATAATGGAAATCAATTTCTCAATTGGAGATGCATCAATATAATAATTTATGAATTTCACAAATTCTCATTTTTAAACATGAGTTACATTGCTACCAAATATGTAATTATCTCATTTTACTAGTCGTAATCTCTGCTCCATTTTTTCTATACATTAGGTTCGAAAACTCGTAGCTTTGATCCAGTCTCCGGTCCTGCTTCATCTGTAATTGATAGAGAATGAGTACATACAACTCAGTACAGTAAATTTAAATAACAAATATAGCATGAAAATCTAATTAAAAGCCCATTCTTCTATGTTTTCCCCTTCCGTTACATTGGTCATGCTTTTTTTTCTACCCACAATCCCCCCACTACTGCTCATCTAACTCTACCGTAACTACCACATCTCTGTAATGATAAATTATCAACTATATTAGGTGTAGTCACCCCATAATACCATCTCCTTGGCCCTAACTCGACCACTCACCCACATTGTTACCCCCTCCCCAATCACCAATATCGGCGATCAACTTACCCTTTTTAAGTGATGACAACCAATATCGGCGTCCCAACCTCGACCACCACTATTGCAACCTCATCCTGTTCATACTCAATATACCACACATACATACATACTTAACCAACACGCCAGTCATTCCAACTTCAATTACTATTAAACAATCGACATTTCCATGCAGTTTTCAAATTTACAAGCATAATTACATAGCATACACAAATCCACACACATAAATACACACACACACATCCCATACATACACACGCTCACTGTTCCCTAACCTTCTTCCCAATTCCCTTTCTCTTCCGCTCACTTCACCCCTTGCAACTTTAACTCTTTCCAACCACTCCCGCTCTCAGTCCCTCTCTTCCCTCATCTCTATGTTCCTCGTCTCACAACACTCCTCTCTCTATCACTATCACCCACTCTATGCCCTACACGACCATCAGCAACCGTTCCCTACGTCCCTTCCTGCCTCCCTCTCTCTCTCGGCATTTCGCCTCCCATTCTCCCGTACGTATTCCGTTTCTCCCCACTCACCCTTCCTGTACTAGTTCACTCTCCTTCCCACGGATTCCCTTACACCTCTTCACTCCCCGTCCTACTCCCACTTTCCCGTAACAGAAATTC